TAATTACTAAGTGACAAAGGTTCAGTTTAATATGAGGAGAGAAACTTTTCTTAAGGATCCAGCTTCTCCTTTCTTTTCCAAACACGTGCAAAGTGGTAAACTCCAGTCTTGCAGATACGTAAGCTGGTGGTTAACTCTGTGATTGCAGAGTTGGGTGCAGCTACTCATGCCCAGAAAACAAGCAAGCGTTTTCAGCATGGGTGACGAGAAGGAACATTTAAAAAATATTCTCTGTCCCACAAGAAGTGAGAAAGAGGGAGAAAAAAAAAAAAACCAAACCCAAACGGGAAAGTCCTAAAGGGCAGAGGGGTTGTGGTAGTCAAACACATGCGTGGTGAACGCATCGAAGGTCCTGATTGCAGGGTAAACTCTTGAGTTACTGCTCCGGGCTCTTGACTTGCAAGCCTCAGGTGTTGCACGTAGTAACTGCACGCTTGGAAAAAGCTAAAGTGCAAAACGGTCTTGCAAAACGAGCCGCCTTTGTGAAGGGAGGTGATGTGGGCAGTGGATCCTGAGGAGATTGAGGGGTGAGGTTTGCTGTTCGGCTTTACCGATAGCTGGCTCTGTTGGTCGCTGAGGACAGGGTGGGAAGTTTCTCTTGAAAGAACAAGGAATAAGAAAGAAAGAGAGCTTTCCAACTGTTTCATAGAACTGTAATTGAAGGCGAAAAAAATCTGCCGAGGGCCTCAGTGCTGTTGGAATCACTGTTATGCTGGGTGGCACCGTGCCCATTTGCACAGACGTTCGTTTGTAGGTGCTTACTGAACATTGTACATGAGTTAATGGATAGACTTTAAAGTCAGGCTTTGATAGGACTGGCGTACCCATAACCCTATTGTTGAGAAAAATGCTATAGGTCACTATTGCCATAGTTATGCTATGCTTTATGTAGCTTGGAATAAATAGAGACGCTGTTGTCCGGTACGTTGAGCACAGCTTTTGGGTTCTGCTCCTGTAATGACCTTGAACAAGTCACTGGAGTTACCAAGGTTTGTTTTATCCTCTACCAGCAGAGAACAGGGATAGTTCACCCATGCTTAGTTGCTAGTGCTGGGGTCAGAGAGAGCGTCTCGGTGATTAAATCATCTTCTTAAAGCGCTTTAAAAATCAAAACGATGTTGTGCAAGGAGTGCAAACAGCTTTGCCGTTTCTTTGATAGGTTCTGCTCTTGGAACTGGATCCACATGGGCAAGTCTTTGTGTCCGTGCGAGGCGCTGTTGAGGTAAGCGGGATTTTGCAGGAGCTCTGGTGGCTTGTGGTGTCTGACCTGGTTGCTGACCCCGTGTGCTGCCTTCTCTTGATGTTTCAGGGCACGGAACTGAAAAATATGATAAATGTTTATGCTTGTTTATTGAGCGTGTTGGGCCTAGTTCTGTATGGGAAGACGGTGTGTCCGCTAGTCAGAGGGATGGGCCTTAGTTGTACGGCGCTTTTAAAATGTCTCTGCCTCACTGCTTTTTGTCTGTTTGTTTTTTCCATTTCTTTCTTTTAAAGCAGCTTTCGGCAAATACTTGTTCCCATGTATGAAGATGTCCTTAGTGGACCTAGGGAAGAGGTTGCTAGAAGCAGCTCGCAAAGGCGAAGATGATGAGGTGCGAAAGCTGATGGCAAGCGGTGCTCCCTTCACCACTGACTGGGTACGTTGGAGGAACAGGCGCTGGTTTTCTGTGTGAAGTGGGTTCCACGTGTGCTCTTTAGGGCTGAACCTAGAGGATACAAATGGAAATTTGGAGCAGTAAAACCAGAGCATGAATTGGCAGAAAACGCACCTCCGGATTTCTGTGATGGAGCAGATTCCAAATGAAGCACTTTAAAAACCAAGACCTTCCTCAGGCGAAGATGAATTGACGTTTGTGTAAAGACTGATCTCTGTCTGATGCACAAGAGCACAATCATAAGTACCGTGCTGTCCCGGACAGCAATGTATAGGGTTTGATGCTTTAAGAAGTGCAGTTCCCAACAGCTGAGATGAATGATGAGTCAAGTCAAATTGGAAGAACTGGTAAACCTCTCGGCAATAGGAAGGTCTTTTAAGAATGCTTTATTTAAGTATTGAAACTTTCTCAATCAAGAAACTCATCTTTGGGTTGGTTTTTTTTGTTTGTTTCCTTAAAAAAGCCCCAAAACCATGAAAGCAAAGCGGCCCATGCTGGGTTGGAAAGGAAATAAAAGCTTTAATGAAACCAAGGAATAACAGTTGGATAAACAGGGAACCAGAGCGTAACAAACAAGCCATTGGTAACCGTTTTCCATCACCAGTTGTCTTCATTTCCTAACTTACCAGTATGTTCATGCATAACTTTGCGAGATGAAGGAATTAGCTGTATCAGGAGGTAGCAAAGCCTAGTAATATTGTAATACTCTCTAAACAGTGGTGAAATTATCTGTCATGATATAGAGATGGCAGAGATGGTCTGCTGTGGTTTGGAAAAGAAGCCCAGTGATAAAGGAATGGCACAGTGGAGAAAGTAAAAGCATGTTTGATCATCAAGTCATCAGATAACGTAACGATCCCTACAAAGTTTAATGTCTGTTATTGGATATGCAGCCCCTTATTTCCGAGTGGAGAAAAAAAGGTTAAATTAATTTCTTCCAGAAGCTTTGTCATTTTAATTACTGCCAGACGTATGCGTGGTGATTACTGTGCTTGTCCTCTTTTGCTGTGAACTGACAGTAACTCTTCTAAACACGCAGCTTGGGACGTCGCCTCTTCACCTCGCTGCCCAGTACGGCCACTATTCGACAGCAGAAGTGCTGCTTCGGGCTGGCGTTAGCAGAGATGCCCGAACAAAAGTGGACCGGACGCCACTACACATGGCCGCGGCTGATGGACACACTCATATCGTAGAACTGCTAATTAGGGTAAGGATAGGAAATTAGGTCTCACTTTAAGGCTGGTCTGAACGGCCCTTGGGGTTAAGCGTTGATGTCCCTGTTCAAATGCTAGCGCAGGCACCACCTCTAAGACGTTGAGAGAAGACAGCGCCCAGACAAGTACCGCTTATTTCTTTCAGAACGGGGCTGATGTAAATGCCAAGGACATGCTGAAAATGACCGCTTTGCACTGGGCGACAGAGCACAACCACCGAGACGTCGTAGAGCTGCTCATCAAATATGGAGCTGATGTCCATGCTTTCAGCAAGTTTGATAAATCGGCTTTTGATATCGCTTTGGACAAGAACAATCCAGAGACTCTGGTAATGCTACAGGTAGGTTGAGGAAGGAGAAACTTGTTGGTAATTCTCCGACCCGTGGTTGTATCTGCGCTAGAGTGAGAGGGATCACGTTGTGTCCGATGGGATCATTTTCTGTTTGCAGAGAGAACTAGAAATACAGAGGTGGATGAGGTTTGGTTTATTTCTAGTTCAAGCCATGTGTGTCTGCTAGGACTCCATGGGTGATGGAGTTTTATTGGCATGTATCTTGTACAGTTGTGGTGTAAGTTGCCAAGTTTGGGTGGCAGTTTTGTCACAGCTTTTGCACTGCTGTCCCTGGCGTGCTGCAGAGAGAAATAATCTGCCTCTAAAATGTTTCAAGGGTGCTAAATACCACAAGAAGCATGATGCCTGACCTCGCTCTCCTTCCTAGGAAGCAATGCAGAACCAGGTGAATACTCATCCAGAGAGAACGGATCCCATCGCCAACACTGTGACTCTCACCTCACCATTTATTCTTACACCAGGGGAAGTTCTCAATCTCGCTAGTCTCGTCTCTTCAGCAAACGCCAAAACAAACTCAGGTAAGGTTTTATGTGACCTTGAGTGGGAAAGTCCTGAAAAAAACTTCCTAAGGCTGCTTACCGGTAGAGGGCAGATGGTCATTTAGTCGAGGAAAAGTGAAATACAGCCAAACATGCCCAACTACTGCTTCCTGCCCCAGAATATTTTTGCCGTCGAAGGTAACAAAGCAGATTTCTAGCTGATGTAAATAAAGGTGGTTCCGCTGGAAGTGGCAGGGCTCTGCTGAGCTCAGCTGTGGGTCTGCTCCAGGTCTGTTACAAGCAACAGAGCTTGAGAAAATGGATTTGGCTGATTGCAACAGAGGAATAATGAGAATTATTGTCCGTGCCAAATCCTGAGCACTGCAGAGCGGTTGGGGAACAGTTTGCTTTCTTCTTTAGTGGCTTCAAGAGTTGAATAAATGTTTTGCTATATATAAATGTTGAGTAAGGAAATTGCAGCATAAGCAGGTCTGTCGGGTATGTAGCTTACTCCTTATTTCTTCGCTGTCACGTGTTAGATGGAAATAATTAGGTTCCTCATTGTTCTGTGAGCCTTATTTTGGTGGGGAAAACACTTTTAACTTAAGGCTGAGTGCGAATTCTTTTTGTGTAATTCCAATTTTCATAAGAACTCTTAAAGTGAATTTTCTGTATTTGGGGAAATCCAAACCATTGTTTCTTTTCAGTCTCAAGGAGGCTACTAAATGCAAGTTTTGTGAAGCTATTTGGCCTCATCCTGCAAACACTTCTGCATGTGAGTAATTCTTTGGTTAGTGGGACTGTTCACATGCGTGAATGTTTGCTTATTAGCTAGAGAGTGCTTTTAAAATCCCGGATGCTGATGTTCTGCAGTCCCACCTCCACCTCTCTGCCTGTGCCTGGCCACAGCAACTTCAGCAATGCTCCGGACTTGCTCTCAAAGCTTTCGGGGCTGCTCACAGCTTTGAGGCACTGACAGATCCTAATTTAGAAGGGGGAAAATGGCCAAAAGTCTTCCTCTTCCATCTGTGAGGAAGATGCAGTGTGACTGGCACACAGTGTCGTCAGTCGAGGATATTCCACAAACTCAGAGGGGCATAAAACTTGGGATTTTATAGCCTGGGTGATGCTCTGGCCACGGTCAGCGTCGCTGTCTCTGTAAACAGATCTGGCTCTGCCTGGAAGCCGGGTAGGAGTCACAGAAGCCAACAAAAACTGCTGATTTCCAGCTTAAACACGTTCACAGCCTGTTTGGACCATCTCCTGGTGCAAATGCAGCCCTTCCGTTGAAATCATTCTTCTTTTTCCATCGCCTCCATCCCTTTGGTGTGGAAATCAGTCCTGTTCCCTCTCTGCCTTTGTTTTTCCAGGCTAAGCAAAACGGTTGCCCTGAGTCCCTTGAACCCATCCGTGGCGTGTGGGTGAGTGGCCGCAGGCAGTGCTCCGGATGAGATCTTGGCCGCGGCCTTGTAAATCCCCATCTCTCACTGCACCTCCCCTTGTGTATCCTGCAATGTAATCGCCTTTTTCAGTGCTACAACACGGAAGTAGCTTATTGTCCACGTGTGACTGGACTAAAATACCCTGCGTTTTCCCCCCACGACATTTCAAGCACCGGTAATAGCCAGTCAGCGTTAAAATAGCTGGTGTCTCCTGCTCTAGGCCACATCAGGAGTTATTTTTTTCTCATTTCCCGCAAGAGGGCATCAACGACTGCGCCTTCATTGTAACAAAAATCTCTTATTTAACACTTATAGCTAATAACTGTTCTTGTCTCTCTTGAATTCCCTACTTCTTCGGCTCTTGAAAAAGTTTTTAAATGGGAATAAATCATAGAATCATAGAATCGTTTAGGTTGGAAAA